CCCCCCCCAAAATTGGGGAGAGGTTTCTCAAACTTTTACAATCTCAAAAGGTTGGGAACTAAACCCCCAAAATTCCCCCAGCCGGTAGGTGTGGCTGGGGAATTCTGGGAGTTGAAGTCCACACATCTTAGAGTTGCTAAGGTTGAGCAACACTGGTCTAGAGAGTGCTTTGTTGATTTCCATACAAGAGAGCCACAGTGGGGGACCTAGCCTGATTCTCCCCACCCTGCAGGGCCTACCTCGCTCAGAGGCATCGGGGGCTGGCGTGGCAGAAAGAGGGCAGTCAGGTCAGCCTTGAGCTGGTCCTTCTTCTCAGCATCCTTCTGCACCTTCCCCGAGAGCCCACCGGGCTGATGGACCGCCTCGGCGTTGCGGGTATAATCCACCATTAGCACGTCATCCCAGTTCTTGAATTTGGATTTGAAGACCTGGCAGGGAGATCAGTCCACGTTACGGCCAGAAAGTCCAGACGCTCTGGAAGACAACTGCACCAGAGGTTTTCACTTTTGAAACGTTGGGGTGACGTTTTCCCTCCGAAACAAAGCATTTAAAAAGGAAAAACTCCTCAAACGCTTAAATCGCATACTAATCAGAAGTATGCTTACCTATATAAAGATCGTTATCATACAATTAAATTAGTAATATTCTAAATAACTTAACTAACTGTGCCAGAGTTTGGCAGCCACTGTGTCTCCAGCCAACATCAGAACACTTAAACAGACCATGTATATTTATATCTAACATCTGCTGCCCTTTTCTTCAAAACATTCAAGGTGGCCTACAGCTAGACCTTCTTGAGTTCCAAGAATCAAGAAGAGCCAAGAACCAGACAAGGGACCAACCTGGTCCAGCCTTCTTCAGCTGAGGGGCCTGGCTAAACATGGTGGACTTGAATTCCCAGAATCCCCCAGGCAGCCATATGCAATCAGTATAAGCTGGGTCTGTTTTCTTGCAGGAGCATCTCTTCAGCGGGGACTTTGGTCCTCCAAAGCCTCACTTGAGGCTAGAAGAAGCCAGATCGCTTTACAAATTCTGCCCCCTTGCTTTCTGAATCCTGAAGTACCCAACATGTATGCCCCCTCTCCTCCCAAATGGGCAAACAGCTGTTCCAAAAACACGCCCTGGCCAACCCTTGAAGTTGGTTAAAGTCCTTTGGGAGCAGATACTGTCACTCCTTGCCAAGCTGCCCTCCTTCCAACCTGGCACTCGGTTCCCTCCAGGTTGCGGATGACCATGGCGTGCTTGGGGCGATGAAGCATGCTGCACAGCTCCTGGCCCAGCTTGAGAGCAGCCGCCCGCACCAGGCGTGGGGACTTCCGGCCAATCCAAATGAAGACGTCTGACCAGCAGTCCAGAATGTAGACTGACTTGGTGTCCAGCAGGCTTTGGAGCTACCAAAGGAGGAGGACAAAAGCAGGAAGTTGAGATTCAACCGGACCACTTGAAATCTCCTTTCAGGACTCTCGGGAGGCCATAGGAGATCCAAAAAACAGGTTCTAGACTACATTTAATCAGAAATCATCTAGAACATCTATTTTGCCCCCATCACCACCTTGCACACATTGCTCCCAGTGTCCTACCAGTCTCATTTCTGGCAACAGGTCCACCTTTGGCCTTTTCTTGTGCTCGACGGAGAGCCGGTAGTTGATCTGGGGCAACTCCAAATAGCCCAGTCCCAAGCCAACCTGTGCAGGAGGAGGAGGAGGAAGAGAAGAGGGAAGAGCATTCACCCAGAGTAGGATGCAAGCAAAGTGCAGTTAGCCCGGTTTGAGCCATCCTGGGTGTGATCAAAACCAGCATGACAGCACTGTTTTTCCAAACTCCCGCCTGCTCTCAAAATTGACACCTTTAGCCATAAATGGCAGAAAACCTAATGAGGGTCTAGAGCTGGTATCTGGGGATACAGCTTTGATGAGGAATAACACAAGAAGGAAGAACATTTCTGGAAAATCCCTATAGAAACTGGTGGAGAAGGTGAAATTGGCTCTCAAGGTACGTGACTCCAGCCCCTTCCTCCTCTTCCTCTCTCCCCAACCTGCTCCTCACCTTGTACAGCTTGGGTCTCGGTGGCTTGAAGTCATCGGGGACGTTGGCCTTGATCTCTTCTGGCTGCCCACCTAGGACTTCCCAGAACTCAGGGGTCTCCTCGGTCTGAGCCAGCAGCAGGATTTCCGCCTTGCCCTTCCGCTCATTCTTGTTGATCTTCTCGGCAAAGAGCCTGAGGAGAGAGAGAGGAGATGAATCCAGGACAAGCAACAGGAAAGAGAGCCTGGATCGCAATAGGTAAGGAGACCTAGATCTCCCAGGTTCCAGCTGCGCATCTCCAGTTCACAGCTAGCAGCCTTCAAAGCTCTACCTTTTGCACTGTTGCTTGTACACAGCCAAGCTTCTTTGCTTTGTGAAGGAGACAGACTGGCAGGAGTACCAGACTCCCCCCCCCACAAAATCCCACCACTAAGGTTCCCCTTGAGTCCATGTTTTAGGGTGCTGGCAATAATAGCAAGATAAAATAATAATGACATAACTGAAGTCTATCTCTGTGGAGCTCTTCCAGATGTTTCAGAGACCAGCTGGGTCACGCCCTTCTTTCGACACTCACCTGGCTTTGGTGGTACCATTCAGAGTAGCCTGGCTGCCCCTCCAGATGTAAATCTCAAGGCCGTGGTCCAACAGGAAGACGAAGCTAGAAGGGATGAAGGAAAGGGGAGAGCGGAGAGAGGTTTCTTTTGACAGCCGGCAGTAGGCGAATCCACCCCACAGCAGCCGGAGCGCAAGACTTCAAAAGAACGTGATCCTGCATATTTACCGAGGATCCAAAGCAGATGCTTTCAGAGGAACCGGCTCCAATTTTATATTCTTCTTTCCATAAACGCGGTAAAGCCTGTGTTGAAATTGCAGAAACATTAGCTTGATTGTATCCGTTTGGGAGGAGGGGGCAGAGAAAACAAGAACAAATGTCGTGCAATAGATCATCAATCAATCAATCAATCAATCTCTCTCTCGCTCTTCTCTTTAAAAGAAGAGGGTGTTCAAAAAAGGAGGTTGATGATAGATAAAATAGTTGCTGCAGCCTCAAAAAATGGTGGGAGGGATTTGGAGGTCGCCACCACAGAACTGGCAGGCTAGAAATGAACACAGATTGGAGGTTTGCAAGCCAGCTATGGTGAGGGCAAGCCAGGATAGCAGGAAGTCCCCCCAAATTGCCAAGAGAGCCACCAGTTTTGACCCCCAACCCAAAAGACATGCCGTGTCCTGAAACCCCACCACGTAATCCTAGCTTGTGGGGGCTGCAGGCACAGGAAGAGCAGAAAAGTCTCCTCGGGCCCAGAAATGGTATTTTTGCATCCGGTGGTTCAGGGTCACGCGGTTCCATCTGACTCCAAAACGTAAGAACCAGTTTCACCGCCAGCACCTAGAGCAAAGCCTGCTTCTGTGGCTGCTTCAGGTTTACCTGGTGACGTAATGGGCGTCTTCCACGGTGTAGAAGCCGCTCACTGTGCCCCCTTCTATGTAAGAGATCTCATGATCAAATACCTGCCAGGAGGGGTACAAAAATGGGTTCTTAAAAGCGGAAGGACAAACATAAACTAAAAGGAGAGCAACCCCGCAACCATTGCAGATGAAACACGCGAGCCTGCTCATACCCCTGTTCTCCTCCCAACGCCACAGAGAACCTCCTTTCACGTTAAGTCCCTTCGCTCTTCTTTATCCTCTTTCCTCCCGTTTGCAATTTCCTGGGCAGGAAACCATCCCTGGATCTTTGCAAACGTCTCCGGAACGGAAGAAGCCCCTGGAGAAAGGTGCCCACCTGGATGAACTCATCGCTCTCGTCACCCATCTCCTCCCGAATGGTCCGGCACTCGGCCCCCAGGAAGTTGCGCAGGTTGACCGCATGGATCGCCGAACAGGCTTTCTTATCCAGGGAGGACTCCTGGCCAATCCAGTAGTAGATCTCCCAGGTCAAGGAGCCGCTATCATCTAGGAAAGTCTGGACAAGAGCAACTGTCAGTTAGAGAGGGATAAAGATCTATGTCTATCTCAATTCTCTCTATGTCTGCGTCAGTACTTTCTGGATGTCTCTACAGGTAGTCCTCACTTAACGACCACAGTAGTTACCAGAAAATTGGTTGCTAAGCAAAGTGGTCA